GGCGGTGGGAGCTGGCACGGGCCGGGGCCGTGGAGGGATCGAGCGGCCGAAGAACCAGCGCCAGGCGTGGAGGGAGAAACGTTTAATCCCGGGCCGCAGGGTGGGGAAAGCGCAGGAGGAACCGGCCGCCTCAGCAGCGCGGGTTGGTGGCCCGGAGAGCCCACCGGGCGGCTCGGGTGGTCGGGCGGCCCCGACGCGGGACGGGAGGGCAGCTCTAGGCCTGCGCCTTGCCGTCCTTGCTGCGCCAGATGACCAGGGTGACGAGGAAGGGGATGAGGCAGATGGGTGCGATGATCATGGCCAGGAGCACATCTTCGGGTGGGTCGGAGTACACTGGATGCTCCAGGGTGCAGTTGTGGAAGTAGAGGTAATGGCTCTGGAAGATGTATTGCTCGGCCAGGGCGTTGGGGTAGCTGTAGTTCAGGTGCTCGGCCCAGTACTCCAGGCAGTACTGCAGCTCGCTGTAGGGCCTGGGAACAGAGCGGGGACACGGGAAGGGGATGGGAGGAGGCACAGAGCCCAGACCAGCACTGCCCTTCTGGACTGCCCAGCCCCTGCACCCTGCTACGACAGGGGAAGGTCCTGCTGCCCCCGTACCTGCTGATGACTTTCCACTCGCACATCTCCGATGTTGTCACATTCCTCATCAGGTCGACGAAGTAATTCCAGCACTGCAGTGTGAGGTCGATGTAATTCCCCACTGTGAGGAAAGGTGCTGAGCACAGGCAGCATGCCTCTGCCCACAGTGCATCCCTGCCTGCCCCTGCTGCCAGGTGACACCTGGCATCTGGAGCCATGCCCAGGCCAGTGGGAGAGACATCAGCACAGTGAGGGATGGATCCACAGCAGTCCTGGGATGCTGCGTGGAGCCTGCAGCAGCCCAGGGCAATGCCAGGGGCACAGGGAGGACAGGCTGCTGGCTGCCCCCACTGTGGGCAGTGGCAGGGAGAGTTTCATGGCATGTGCCAGCTATTTTTGGGATGGCTAAGGGAAAGGAGGGGTCATTCTGTGGCACAGGGCTAGCCCTGGCCAGGTCACCATTTGGCCTACAGTGCTGCCTGGCCTTCACTGAACCCAAACACTCACCCATGAGCTGGGCTGTCCTGTTGGACATGGCCATGGGTGGGCTTGTCCCAGCGTCCTGACTGAAGCTCGTTTTTGTTGTTGTCACGGAGTCCGTCTGATAAAGGCCAGCCCCCAGGAGCACTGCAGAGGAAGGGACACAGGGTGAGATGGAACGTAGGGTCTGGGAGGGGTAAGAGTGCTGACAGGAGCTGCCCTGGCTGGGTCTACAGGAAATAACTGCTTTTGGGTGTCCCTCAAGGGACACTGGAGCCAGCAGGTGGGGCACAGGGTGCCAGAGCCTGGCACATGCCAGGGCTAGGGCGTCCAGCCCCCCATATGGGCAGGGACTGTGGGGAGGGGCTAGCCAAGCAGCAGGCAGCTATCCAAAGGTTTGGAGGGGCTGTTTAGGGGCTACAAACCCTGAGCCATGGTCACAGCATGGGGGTAGACTGGGACCCCCACCCATGGGGAGCCAGCGTGGTGCTGCGTTGCAGTCGGACAGGGCTGGGCAGGAAGAGGAAGCACTGGCCACAGCACAGTGCTGGAGAGAACTGCTGGAGTGTCCCTCCGCCTGCCATCAATCCCACACCCAGAACAGCCTGCCAAGGGCGTGGGGCACGTCTCGCCTGCCCCACAGGAGCCCCATGGCTCAAGGAAACTGCCTGATCAATCTTCTGCCCTTGGCTGCAGGCCTGAAGTGTGGGGCATTGATGCTGGCTCTGTGCTGAGTTGCCAGAGTGGGCCCGGCTTGGTCTATTTGTGGGGAGCTCTGGCACAGCTGGACACTGGCCACGGGGTGCTCCTGGGCTGGTACACTGGCTGTGGTAAGGGCAACCCACCGTGTCCTGATCTCTGTCCCTGACGGCCCCATCCAGCCCCGCTGTGGGTGCTACAGCTCCTGTCCCAGCCCTTTGCAGGGGCTCTCTGCCGGATCGTGGATGAGCGTGGTGGGAGCCGCCCCACAGCACCTGGTGCTCACCTGCCACTGCCCCCGGCCATGCTATG